AGACTGCTCTCAATCTCAAATAACACTGTAGAAATTTCAATGCTCGACCGTATCTCTTTGGCTATTCTATATAGTCGTGTTGAATCTGAGATTGTCCCGTGCAACGTAGCCAATAAATAAGACTAGATTAGTTCAAATGGTTCATTAGCTATTTATTATAAAAATGACACATTTTTATAGGCTCTTGGGGTATAAAGTATACAATTATCTGTTTCCCCTTGCTTAAATAAGGATTTCTGGGGTGATATTGTCATAAATAAATACATGAATGAATAAAAAAAAAGTCTTTGGGTTGACTGCCCCATCCTTTGTCGGCCAATTTCATATGATCGGCCAAGAATGAGGGGAATTAAGGAAAAGTTCAATCTATTAAACATTAAGAATAATTAACTCCGATATGACACTTAAATAATTTTATTTGTCTTCAATAACAATTTGGATAGTTTAAAAACTTATAGGTGTACTTATTATATTTTCATGGGGCCCCAACTCAGCCATGAGATTACTTGAGGGCCAGTAATGAGGTAAGTTTGGGGGTATTAACATGGGTTATTTTTACTTAATTGCACCTGTTTTTTATTTTGTGTTTTACCTGTTAGTTTTATCTATATATCACAAATTTATACTCGTGGAAGGTTTTTCTTGATGTTATGCAGGTTACAGGTGTTTATTATGTGTATTTCGGGACGAGAAAAACCAATAGAAAAGCAATCTAAAACGGCGTGATCATGCCTGGAAGAGTCGTGATCATGTCTTGAAGAGGCGTGACCATGTCATCCTATTGCCATAATTGGCATGTCAATGTCACAAGTGTGCATGACCACTCCAAACATGTAGAGGTTCGACTTGACCATGCTAAGATAGGGCATGAGCATGCCGACCGATCTAGAATGCTGGCATGACCACTCCCCATTCTGCAGTGACCATGCCAATGGATTGGTCATCTATTTTGGCAATAAATTTTTTACCAAATTCATGGATTAAGCTATAAAAACATACCTTTAAGGCATCTGAAGGGGGAGAAGAAATAAATGATGGGCTTTAGTGTTCTAGTAGCCTCCCTTGCCTCATTCGCTCTGGCGCACTACCATATCTTCACACTTGGATCGAGCGATTTGCTCGGTACCATTCGTGGAGCTTCTCACTACTAGGCAGGGAACCACCTTAAGCCTTATTCAATTCGAGTTGAGAGGCGTAGGCTTAATGATGCTTGAGAGTTGAGGATCGTTCTATGGATGTTGGGTGTGGATCAAATGCTTTGCATTGTTGTTAGTCATCCTAAGTGTTTTTAACAAATTCGACACTAGTTGAGGTACTGGTGCTTGGCTCTTGTCTTTTATCTCTTGAATCTCGGTTACTTGTCAGGATCTCTGTCTGTTTGGAGTACCATTGAGGTTTGATTCTAGGATGATTTGCATAGTATCATTCGTAGAGATTGTCGCTACTGAGCAAAAAACAATCACTGGAATTTTTACCCTACTCATGTTAAGAGAAACGCTGGGATACTTTGGTTCCGTGTGCTTGGTCGCACTGATACCTCACACTGAGGTAGCTTCCAAGACTTCTTTTCAGGGTGATTTACGTGACAAATTCGCAGAGCTTCTTACTACTAGGTAAGAAAATAACTCTAAAGCTTTTTCTGATTCGAGTTTGAGAACAGGTCTAGAACATATAAGTACCGCAGACCAGTTTTTGCATTTTGCCGACCTGATGTATTTGCCGTTGTTTTTGGCTTTCTTGGGGTTGAGTTCCATGAGTTTTGGCTACATGCTGAAGCTTATAAACTCCTCGAGTTCCTTGAGTGTTATTTCGACCTGGGGTTGCACATTCAATTAGTCAATTCACATTGTTGACATTTTAGAGTACAAAATTACAAAAACCGAATGAAACCGCCTCATTTTATTAATCTTTCACAGGAAGAAAAAATGTTTGAGGTTGTCTCTGCTCAATGTTCGAGGGACTCCTCAACCTGTGCAGGTCTTTAATTTGTTTGTTTCAGCGCCGACCCTTTGGTCCGATGATAAATATACCGGTTCAGGTCCGATCGAGCTTGTCTATCGACTGCCGGCATGATACTGGATTGGCCTTTTTGAATATGAGGTCTCTGGGTGCAAATGTCTTTTCCCGAACATGCTTGTTGTACTTGTGTGCGGTGCGCCTCTTTACTTCGTGTTGGAGGGTTGAGTTGGCTTGAATCTCCTCCAAGTTTAATGCCTGTGTTGCTCTCACATGGTTTGCTTCATGTCATTTTGCAATGTCTTCATTAAAATTTGAAGCTAGTACCACTCGTTGACTTTGGTTGTTGTACTACACTGGTTGCATAGCCTCTATCCCGGGCGACAACATAAATGGTGTTTGTCCTATAGCGGTTGATGGTATTGTTCTTGTCATCTAGAGGATGGATGGTAAAAGTCATCATCCCATTTTCCATTGGCTCCTTCAATCTTCTTTCTTAGCAAGTTCAAGATTATCTTATTGACAACATTTGCTTGATTGTTGGTCTGGGCGTGATGCTCTAATGCGAAATTTCAAGTTGATCCATTGACTTGGGTAAAAACTTTCACTCCCTTGTATGCAAATTGAGTTCTATTGTCTGTGATGAGGATAAGTGGCAATTCATACCTACAGATGAGGTCCGTTTAGATGAAGTTCTGGACAAGCTCCGCTGTTATGCGAGGGAGTGGCTTTGCCTTAATCCACTTAGTGAAATAATCTACCGTGATTAGGAGAAACTTACGCTGACCCTCGACAGTGGGAATGGCCTAAGATGTTGATTCGCATGACGACAAAAACCAGGGGCTGACAATCAGCTGCAACCTGTGGGTCTGCCTGTGTTGTAACGGTGATACCTCCAACACTACTCGCACCTCTCTTAGAATCCTTCTGCTTCTTTTAGGAGTGTCAACGAGACGTTGTCTCGTCGTTGAATTTAGTGCTAATCTTCCCTCCAAAGTTACTCCCACACCCTCTTGAATGTATATATCGCAAGAGATCTTCTATTTCATTCTCTCTTATGCATCTCAGATAAAGAGAAGTAACCGACTTTCAAAAAAAGTTTTTCTTCAATCAGTAGATATTGAGCGGCTTGGCATTTAAATTTCTTCGGATAAGTGTCCTCCTTAGCTATTTTTCTAGCCTCATGAAATGGACGTAAGGATCCATCCAACTTCTTACTTCTTAAGGCCTCCACCTCCATCACTTCAAGATATTCAACTGTCGGTCAGAATAACTTCTGCTTTGGCTGGCTATTGGTGACCTTAAACTCAATAGTCCTTGAATGGTAGACGTGCTCTACAGTTGGGCTGCTTAGAGCCAGCTTGATTCCTAAAACCCCATCTGATTGGAGGCTCCATGATGTGCAAGATCCATGTCATTTAGTCGACATCGGTTTCTTCGCTCGGCAAGCATGGTTCAGAAAGTCGGTTATGAGGTTCGCCACTGCTTGCACTTTGATAGCTGTTTGTAGGATTTAGATAATGTTGAACTCAACTCCACCTCCCTTTTGAGGAGTCGACTAGAGTATAGACTTCAATGGATGCTCGGTGATTATTTGGATTTGTTGTGTTTGGAATTTTGGTCGAAGCCTACTAGCTGACATAACCAAAGCAAACATTAGCTTCTTCATAATCCGGTACTTGAGTTCGGCACCCCGGAACACCGTATTAGTGTAGTAGACTAGAACTGTTTTCTCAACTCCTCAAGAATTAACACAGAATCATAGGATCTTCATTAGTTTTATCGTCTCTCCCCCATCTCCTACTTTAAGCTGATGTTAGTGAATTTATTCGATATCAAAACTAACACTACTATATGATAGGTAGTTTTAATCAAAAGTTGTCTCATCTCTGGAAGAGATAATTAACCATAGGGTCTTGTATCAATGGAATGTATGGAACTAGTTTCTGCAGTCCTTGCAAAATAAGGGTGATATTTATGGATAATCTTATCTGAAAGTTAAATTTTGTCCTTTGAAAATTTGAAATGGAATCATCAAATCTCTTAGGAGAGCCACTTATGAATTTTTTTACCCGAAAATGAGTCTTAATGTTGATGACAAGATCTTTTGTGTAAAAGCTTCAACGAACATTCTGGTGAGTTCCATAGCAAGGTACATTGACGATATCAGTGGTGCATTCTCTTACTAGTTTATTTTGAATAGATGAATACTTGGCAAGTTTATTTTAATTAGGTGAGTAGCCATTAGGTGATTAGACACCTTCAATTATTGAGGTCTTTTTTTCCAACGAATTTAGCTTTGAGTTTCTTTGGTTCAAATGCTGGGCAACCTGCTGATCCTTAATGTTAAGGCTAATATGCCTTGATTAGTTCAACCCAGATGATAATGTGTGTATGGAGAATATGTTAAAAACATATCCAATCGATGACATTTACTTTCATGTTCTAGTATTAAACTAAAGTATAAATGCTCGTGGCTTGTCATTTAACCGAAAAAACAACTTCCTTTCATTTATTTATTTTTTTTTATTTTTTATTTTTTATTTTTTTTTCTTTTGCCTAAAAAGTGCCTGGGAAGGCAACAAAACTCGGTGTCATGGTCTTGCAAAAATGATACCTTTGGTGTACAGAATAAATCTATAGCTGGTATTAGAATTATCGGTTGATATTTGACTATTTTGATTATGACATAACTACTTGTTTCGGAGGCCCAGAACTTGCGGAAGTTAATTTAAAGCAGTGGCAATTCGTTTGAGAATAAACGAGCAAATAAAATATATGTGATCCTCTCCTTTTTTATTAAATCAATAACTAATCTCCCCAAATTCTTATTGAGCAGATTTCACAAAACCTTTGCTCTGGGCTAACTTGAAACATGCATGTTGAAAGCTGTTTTTGTCACAGCTAACATGATTAATGTTTGAAGTTCAATTTATGCTACATTTTTTTTCTGCTTCTGCATCCCATCATAGTATTCTTCAGAAAGCAAGTGTTGCTCGAAAAGAAATAAAAAATTTCTGATAACAAAGTGACCTTTCATTCAGGATATTGCTTTGGCCTCAGTTTCCATGAGACCTATTCCACTTGCACCTATAATGGAGAACCTCTCCCTCACAGTAGAGAATTATGGATCTGTTCGTCGATACTTCATACAGATGCTGGACGACCGCGTGCTTTCCTCATATATCCAGGAGAAACTAGTACGAGAGAACCCACCTCAAGAGGTGTTCAAGCTCAGAGGCAGCGACCACTGCCCCTTCTTCTCAAAGCCACAGTCGCTCTGCAAAATTCTGCTTGAGATCGTGCAGCTTATATAGTGTAGACAGTTCACTTTACTCTTTTATTTCCTTATCAAAGGATGAGCATCAGCTGGAAATCGTGGGGGAGAAACTTATTTTGACGGTTCCAATGTCGGTTATTTTAAATTTGAAAATGAACCTGGCTTGAGATTTCCTGTACCAAATTTTTTACTGAGGATGTGCTAATGCACCATTGTTCCGTTTTCATTCTACTTTTATTATTTTCTATGATATCACATAAAAGGAAGGTCATCATAAGTTTTCAAGGGAACTCATGCAGCTTGTTTGCTGGTGATAGAATATTGCACCGTAGTTATCTTTGGGGATGGAAGTCACGCTGTTTATAATAGCCTGAGGATGTGCTCACATAAAAGGAAGGTCATCATAAATTTTCAAGGGAACTCATGCAGCTTGTTTGCTAGTGATAGAATATTGAACCGTAGTCTTCTTTGGGGATGGAAGTCACGCTGTTTATAATAGCCTGAGGATGTGCTCATGCATTATTGTTCCGTTTTCTTTCTACTTTTATTATTTTCTATGATATCACAGAAAAGGAAGGTCATCATAACTATAAGCACACCTTCAGTAGAATTTGGCTCAGGATATCCTGAGCCACATTATTTCCTTTCATCCGTTCCTTCAGCTACTATGGTGAATAACTCAAGTTCCTGCAGCAGTTACCCTGTACCAGCATAGATATAATAGAAAAAACAAATTTTGAGCTACGTGCAGTTTATATTGTTAAATTTTCAAGAGAATATAGCACCGTAGTCTTCTTTGGGGATGGAAGTCACGCTGTTTTAAATAGCCTGATTTGGTGCAATTAATAACCTGATTTGATATACTTAATATCACTAGGTGCCCCTACTTTGCTCTATTTTGCATGTTATTTAATTAAACATTAATTAAGGGTTAAAAGTTAATGTGATAATGGTTTGAAGGATTCCTTTCCATGAAGCTTTCTTATTGAATGGAGCTGCTGTTCGATTTATGAATTTCTATCATTTACATGGATGTGAGAGTATATACTGTAATGATTGCCAATCCGATTTCATGATGGTCGAAAAATTATTTTGAAAAGGAATTTATCATATTATGTGTTATGGTTGGATTTCGATCATCCAGGAAATATACCCCAATCATATTATGTTACTAAAATTTTCACGTACCTATAAAATCCTTAAGTTTTTAAATATTCTTAAATGCTCGTAAAATACTCAAAATGTTAGGGGTTATTTCCTTCAAGTTTATGGAATCACATGAAACTTCCGTCGTATTTTAGTAAGGCCTACAACGTGCCAAAATTGATAAATTTTACTGCAGCATGAAATATTTATTAAATATTTATTAAACTTTAAAATTTTACCTAATTTAAGGTTGTTCTTTAGAATATAGCTATGGATATGAAATTTTAGTTTGTGTTCGATAGACCATAAAATGAGATTAATTCATTGAATAAGTTTCGAACAAAGATATTTACATTATCTTAGAAAGTTACAAATATGGAACCCTGTTCTTACATGCATGCTAGAATTATTGAAATAAAAATAAATTAGTAATAATAGAACTCTTGATGAAATTTCAAAGATTCTCTTTTTGAGTTATAGCCTTGTCTACTAACATAAGCAAACATATACTCAAACTCTGAAAATTTGCAAAAATATTTAAAATTGTAAAATCATTTGAGGAAGAGTTAAATTTTCATATGGGGTCAATGGTGACATAAATATTAAATATTAAACTTTATTTAGAAAATATATCTAAAAAATAGGAAAAAAACTTAATTTTTATTATTAAATAATACATAACATAGCCATAAATATTAAAAATTTATATTAAGATAAAACATTTTGTGAAAATTTCTAAAAATCGAACATCTTAATTTTTAATAAATTAAGAATCTAAAAAGAAGCTAACACCAAATTATTTTGTCCATTAAATTTTTTTTTGTCTTTTAAATATTAGAGATATACCTTAAACCATAAATAAATTATAATGAGTTCATCTAACGGCAAAATGGTATGAGACTCTGACAAGAGTGTCTCGGTCATATTTCAAACATTGCTATAAATTTTATAAATGTCTAAATTAATTTATATTTTAATTAATTGATAATTTTTAAAAATCTTTAATAAATAATAGAAATTTAAAATTAAGTCAAAATGAATTCAAATTTTTAAGAAATACTTTTCTTGTGGTATTTCACTTCCAAGAAATCTCATAAATTTAGAGGCATTTAACATTTAATTTCTAATTTCTTCAAAATAAGTCAATTAAAAAGTATTAATGAATTTTTTTAATTAAAACACACCTATAATTGAACTTGAACTTTAAAAACTTCATAATCATTAAACTAAAAATGTTTAAATTATGAAAGTTACCCCCTAATCTTAGAAGTAGAAAGAAGTTTAGAGAATTAGATTTATAATGTTTTTTTCCTATTAAATATTTTTATTTGGAATTTTATAATTTAAAAAATATGATAAATATTAATTAAGTCATAACTTGTTTCTTTGTGTTATAAATTACTTCTAACTTTTACAAGTGTGTTTGGATCACTTTTCAAGTTCCACTATAAATTTTTATAATTTTTATAACTAATTTGATTATTAAATAGTTTTCAGAATTAAAATAGTTAATAAATCGCTATAGTTCAAATTAAATAATGCATATTCCAAAATCTCATGGATCATATCTTTATGGCTCTTTACCTATGAGAATTTTATATGTTTTTTGGGACATGTTGGAGATGTTTTGAATATTTCTCTAAAAAAATAATGATAAAATAAAAATTAATTATAACTTAACTAAGTATTTCCCAAAATTTTAAGAAATTGTTCCTAATGATACCTTTAAACCCTTAGTCGATTTCCCATGATTCCTAATTATTTTAAGTGGGTTTTCACCAACTTAGTCTTAAAAGAAAAATAAGAAGTAAAAGTAAAAACTAATAAAGAATCAACCTTAAGGTAATATAAAACATAAGGGAGAAAGCCAATTTATCCAACCTTAAAATCTATCTTAAAAATCATGTAAAATATCATTAAGTTTCGGCAATTAAATGTAGGGTTATATGTTTGTTAACTTAAATCAAAATCATATCAAAGTCAAATTAAGAAATTCAATTCTAATTTATACTCATGTCAAACAAAAATCAAATCAAAATAAAATTAATTCATAGCTTAACTTGTCAAGATGATATCTTTTGGCTTTGGTTATGATACAAAGTATTTAAGCACACATGTCGTCTCATGTAATAAACCAAAAATACATGACATTATTTACACAAGCGCTGAGCTCAAATTAAATTAAGTACAATTTTTTCGAAAATCAATGCTTCTTACGACTACAAAAATTTTAAAAAGAAAGATACAAAAGGGAAATTATTTGGATTTTTAAATGATAAAGTTTCATTGAATACCAAATGTTTATGTGATTTTGTGCTAGGTTTTTCTATAGATAGTTATCAAAAAGTGCAACACTATTCCTTAATCTCCATTAAGACTTAAGAAATATTTAATCTTCAAGTTAAAGTATAGTATTATCCCTATCCTAAACAAAGTAAAATGTTCCATGATCACTATTCCTTAATGAGATCAAAATTTTTCAAAAGCAAGAGGCCCATGTTTACAAAAAAATTGATCTTCTCTACTATTTTACTAGTATTCCATCAAAATGGATAGTTTACAATTGGTTTTAAAACATGACCAAGCAAAATATATTTAGAATATGACTAGGGTTAATAAGTCATAAGCTTCATGGTTCTTCCAAACCAATTCTCAAAATACATAAACCATGAAGATAATAACTTAATTATAGAATATTAACTTAGTTCTTACTCACGATCACTAGAAATATAGAAACATCAAAAGAGTACAAGGCTCTGCTAAGTTAAGAGAATAGATTCTGATTTAAGCTTGGAAGTCTAAATTTTCTCTTGCTCCACTTGTCCTGTGTAGCCATACAATCTCCTTGCACTCTCACTCACAATATTCTCTCAAGTGGAAATAAATCTAGAAATATTCTACACACTGACATCATATACTCCCTATTGTTATGTTTGTTCAAACTATTTAAATTTTCTTTATAAATCCTCTAGGACAATTTTAAATTTAACCACAAATTGCTCAATTGAGAGCCTTGCAAACTTGTGTTTCTACACATAAATATCGCACTTTGGTGATGCGCTCTATGGCATTTAGTTTCAATTTCTTCATGTTATAGTGTTATGAATTTGATCAGATGGCATCACGACCCTGAAATATAATGCTCTGACACTAAAAAAATGGAACTGTGACACATCACTCTTGATTTTATCCTCCTTTTTGTCCTTTTTCAACACTATGACACTACATTTTCAATAATGTGGCATTAAATATTTCATGCTGTGGTGCAAAATACTAGCACTATAGTGCTAATTTCTCAAGAAATTGTCTTGAATTTAGAGATTTTAAGTGCTACGATGCTTCCCATTATACTTTAGCCCATTTCTCTCTAACTTGTTATCTTATCAATTTCCCCCAACAAAACATATTATAAACACCATAACAGTATAAAGTAACATAACATTTACACATAACTAACAATTAATTTGTAAGTATTTGATCCCGGTGAAAATATAGTCGTGTAAAATTTATATAAGTTTGACTCTGCTATGCAACGACGCCAAAAGATTGATGCAATATTTATGATTAAGAAATTTAAGAAATTAATGTTGAGATTTTTCACAAGTATACGTATCATTATCAAGTAATAAAGAACTTTCTATTTAAGCCCCAAATATCGATCTCACGGGGAATGTTTAAATTTGAAGTGATAAACTTACTAGAAAATTCATAGAAAGTGAATAGAAATTATTGTCACTAATTTTGAATGCTGAGATATTATCAAAAATAACTTATTTAGTTATTAGCAAAACTAAAGTGCAAAGTTTAAACAGTAACTACTAAACTATGTTTTTGTGATGAAGATTTCTTATGTGAAAAAGCAACATTCCCACTACAATGAGATTTTGGTAAAATGAGATAAGATAAATGGTTTTAATATGTATTTTGCCAAAAAGAAGCAGTTTTAATTCTCTACCCTGATATAGTGTTATAGAAAATCATTGGCTAATCTCAGGTTTAGTCCCTAAATTCGTGGCTAGGCTAGGAGGATACTGACTCCCACTACAGAGCTCCCACTTCCCTTCACCTGAAGGCTAACTCTCGCTTT